TATATGTTTACATTCTAAGTCACAACAACAAGGATGCGGGAGTGGGGCTCCGAGGGGCCACTGTCCAGGACTGTTTGTCTAGTGCCCCCTTGGGCCAGCCAGCTCCCAATAGGAGGGATTGGAGGCCTGCTGTGAGCCCCAGGAGGGGGACTGGACGGCCTCTGATTAGGACTTGCACTGTGTCCTGTCAGATTGGAGTCGATGGAGGGGCGGGTTGGGGAAGATGAGGCCGCACCAGCCTTCAGACAAGCCAGGCGATAACAAGGTTTGGACTTTGGCTGATGCCAAAGACAGAGGCCCCTGGAAGGGAGGCGACACTTGTCCTGCACTAATTGCTTTTGCTGGAAACCCCTGGACAAATCCCATATCTTGCCTTCCAACTGCTGGCTGTCCCATCTCCTTACCTCAAACCCTGGGGACACGATTTCCATCATGCACAGCCCCCCTGATTCAGACTTGTCCACAGATGAATCCCACCCATCAACCACACCCTGACCACAGTCACTGACCAAGTAGGTCTCCCAGCCCACCACTCACCCCTAACCTTGGCCTAGACATTCAGTAATGATGACCACACACTGGTCCCAAGCCTAACCCTGGTTATAGATTAACCCCAGTTATCAGCTGACCCCTGCCCCTGGTCACCGCCTCCCTAGTTGTAGCCCTTGCCCCTGTAGTGATCCTTGGTTCCAACCCCAGTCACAAGCCTGATCACCATCTAGGTCATTGATCCCCACCACCCAGAATCCTGAGCTCAAAGGAGCTCCTCACTTCGCCCCTGTATAAACCAGCTCCAGCCCCCTACAGGTGCCGATGCTGGTCCTGGAGCCTCCTGGTTCATATGCAAGTCCTTGATCACAGATGTCCCCAGGTGATACCGCCCACCCCAGCCCCCCGAAGTTCAGATGTGGCATTCTCTGGCCTCTGAGAACTTCTGGACTCCAACATGGCTGGACACTGGCCCGGCCCTCCTGCCCCTCTCAAGGAGTTGGACTGAGCAGGGCAGCTCCCAGGAACCTGCCATGCTATCCTCTTGCTGGGCACTCTTGGGAAGCCTCTGCTCCCCCACCCCACCCCCCAGAGTCACGGTGGAGTCAGGGCCAGAAAATGCTCAGCCAGGGCCTGGCCCACAACAAAGCCATGGTGCTTTCATTTGATCCTCACCCTGGCCCAGGACTCGGACAAGCCAAGCTCAAACTCACTGCCATCGAATCCATTGTGACCCATAGTGACCCTATGGACGGCATCGAACTGCTCTTGTGGGTTCTCGAGACTGTCTCTAGTCTTTCCAGGACTAGAAAGCCTCGTCCTTCTCCCACAGAGTGGCTGGTGGTTTTGAACTGCCAGCTTTGCGGTTTCCAACCCGACACATAACCACTGTGCCACCAGGGCTCCCTCAAGACAGGCAGGCGGGGGTTCTTGCCTCCTTTACACTGCTGGGGAGGCAGTGGCTAGTCCCAGGCCCCTTCCGGAGAAAGAGTGGGTCTCCGGCCTGATGGAGGAGGAGCCTCTTGGGCCTGAGCAGCAGCTTTGCCTCCTTGTCCGGCAGGGGGCCGAGTGCTTCAGATCCCCCTGGTGCGAGCGGAGGACGCTGGGAGGTACTCTTGCAAGGCCTCCAACGAGGTGGGCGAGGACTGGCTGCATTATGAACTGCTGGTGCTGAGTGAGTGCCGGGCCAGGGCCAGGCCACGGGAGGTGTGGGGTGTCTCTGCTGAGGTGGGGGGAAAGCACTGCAGAACCAAAGGGGGTCAGCATTCACCCAGAAGGGGGTCTGGTAGGGTGCATCTTCAGCCTTGCTGTACTCCCAGTTGATAATGCAGGGGTGACAACCTTGAGTCCCCAAACGAGATGGAACTGGGCTCAGGTTCCAAATTAGCTGCTCCCTAGCCATGTGCCCTTGGGTGAATACCAGCCCTGTCTGCACCATAGGCCGGTGGGTGTGGAGACAGTGGGGCAGGAGGAACCCCACTGCTGCTCTTGCCTCCACATCCCCTCCCTCCGAGGTCTTTCCCTGGGAGAGGTCCTTGGGCCACAGCCCACTGCTACCTCTCCCCACCTCCCCAGCCCCACCTGTGATCCTGGGCGACACAGAGGAGCTGGTGGAGGAGGTGACCGTGAATGCCAGTAGCAGTGTCAGCCTGCAGTGCCCGGCCCTGGGCAACCCCATGCCCACCATCTCGTGGTTCCGGAACGGGCTGCCTCTCTCTCCAAGCTCGCGGCTGCAGGTCCTGGAGGACGGGCAGGTCTTGCAGGTTAGGGCAGCCCCTGGGCAGGCTCAAGGAGCAGTGGCTATTGTGAGCTCAGGCCTCCTTGCCTGGGAGCCTAGGAGCTGCCATTTTCTGAGTCAATTCAGGGATGCACATTGGGCTGCTAACTGCGAGGTTGATGGTTCAAGCCCATCGGCCCCTCTGTGGGAAGAAGATGAGACTGCTGCCCCATCATGACTTACAGTCTCAGAAACCCTAAGGAGCAGTCCTCCTCTCTCTTACATCGGAATCCTCTCGGGCGGAGGGGGCTTGGTTTGCGGATTTTGAGTACCTGGGATGAATTCCTCCCAGTAAATCAATAACTGCGTAACTGTAAACAAGGAGCCGTGCTAGCCAGCGAGGCCCACACACGGCACCTAGGAATTTGAGGATGCCTGCAAGGGAGACATGTGCACGCTGCCCCTAGAGCCCAGCCCGGCACAGGGCATCTTGCGGAAGGCCATCCGCCCAGTCGTGGAGCCTCCGACTGTGCCTGGCACCCTCGGCACCCAGTGCCCAGACACACAGCCTCCCTCCACGGGGTTGGGGGTGGCGGCGAACACCAGATGGGCCACAGAAATGCACCAACACCGGCCTCTCACTGAACCCGCCACCAAGTGCCACAGAAAGCTTGGGGGATTGCCGCAGTCTGCCGTCCATCAATGGGCCACCCTGCCCCTGGTCTCCACCAGCTGCCTGCTGTGGGTG